CCGTACTTTAATTGGAAGTTTCCGCCCACAGCTAAGATAGTATATTTTGGAAACTGTATGAACATGTCGCAGTCATTTACTTAGCCAATCACAAATTGAAATATTTGTATTTCATGCTGTGATTGGTTCCAATAGATCTACCAAGCCGTACTTTAATTGGAAGTTTCCGCCCACAGCTAAGATAGTATATTTTGGAAACTGTATGAACATGTCGCAGTCATTTACTTAGCCAATCACAAATTGAAATATTTGTATTTCATGCTGTGATTGGTTCCAATAGATCTACCAAGCCGTACTTTAATTGGAAGTTTCCGCCCACAGCTAAGATAGTATATTTTGGAAACTGTATGAACATGGCGCAGTCATTTACTTAGCCAATCACAAATTGAAATATTTGTATTTATTTTTTTATTAAGAAAATAAAAACGACCACTTTTAAACCATGAATTTGGTAATTAAGAACAGTACAGTAACTGACTAGACTTACACGATGTGACGTACAGCACACTAATATAGTTCCTGCTGTACACAGTGTTGTACGAAGACGTACTTATATATTTTTCAACTCTTTAGTTGCAAAAAAAAGTTTTTAACATTTTGTTTTTCGTATTTTCACCTTTCAGACACAGTGCCAAAAGGAGTTCTAAGGAAGGCCAGAGCTTACTTGTCTGGTTTTCTCACAGGAATAGTTAAAGCAGCATTTAATTTGCAAGTTGAGCTGTTCTTGTCAACTAATCAGAAAATGCACTTGGTTTGTACACCTCTCGTCAATCAAGCGAGACAATTAGCCCTATAATATGGGCTTGTATGTCTAAAAAATTGAGGCTAATTAGCATATTTAAATTAATATTTTCCCCATAGAGAACTCAAATTTGTGTGTGGTTTTAACTTTCAACGTGATCTTGTGTGTAGCTATTCTATAGTAATCCCTCGTGTTCTTCTTTTCCCGGGGGCATTCAGTGAATAACTGTTGGTTTCTCTTGGGTTATGTTCATCTTCCCATTTCCACACTAACTCTTATTAAAGTTCTCGCTTAGTGTTAGGCCTCCCATGAATAAGAAGTACAATTTTCATTTGTTAAAGCACGAGTGAGCTTTCACTTTCGCTATTGGTTTAGTGTTGTGCAGAGAAGTTGACCGACTCTGGTTTCCGAGAGAGGGCGCGAACCAAAGATTTAAGGAAATTGAGTGTTTGTAGTGAAATCCAAGTTGGACCACCCATTTCACTAAGAATATATTTTGGACTTCGTTTCAAAGTTTATATTTCACACTTAGGGATATTTTCGTTTACTATTTTATTTTAATCTGGCTGAATTTACTGAGGGGGAGGGCATTTACTAGCAAGAACAGTATGTATGTATATATATAGCCCTTTTGCTAGTTCCGCACATCTATTTTGAAGTGAACATAGGATCACTTGCCATTTCAATGTTTATAGTATTCTTTACACTGTGGCCCGGCATGGCCAGGTGGTTAGGGCACTCGACTCGCAATCTGTGAGTCGCGGGTTCG